TTTAGCGAGAAGGGAGAAGATATAAAACGTCCATCATCTCCAGCGGCTGCTTAACGTCTCTGTAGACACTCCTGAAGGGGGAATTATGTGTGGTTGTATGACGAGAAGACGTACCCGGGCTGGCTCATGACGGCAGGCTCTCGAGGAACCCGCCAGGGGCTTCCCCCATTGCTGCCCAAACTGTTCCTAACGTCCCCTTATTGCCTTTTCCTTGTCGGCCGTATGGGTTTTGTACGCCCTGTGGCGTTCCCCCCGTGTGTATCCCTCTGTCCCCCCGTCCCCAGCGCCTGCGATGCTCTGACAGCGGCTGAGATGTTTCCCCCCCGGTCTCTTTCTGCCTGCAGCCCGAGGAGAAGCAGAGAGCCTCGGCGGCGTTCGCCCAGCTCCGGGCTGCCATGGGCACGCTGGGCATCACGGCGGAGGAGCAGGCGGCCATCTGGCGCATCCTAGCTGGCATCTACCACCTGGGAGCCGCCGGTGCCTGCAAAGGTAAGGGGGGCTCCTGCCTCTCCTTTTCTTACACCCCGTCTCGGTGCCGGGGGTTCGGGGAGGGCGAGGAAGCGCGTCCCGGCGGCGGTCGGTGCTTGGGCACGTTGCACACCAAGAGGCGGTCAGGAGCGATGCTCGCCCGGAGGCTGTAGGGTGCCCTGAGCTCTCCGTTGCCCGCAGAGGCGCGGGGCGATGCTGCGTGCCGGTGTCCTGCCCTGCGGGGGCTTCTGGAGCGGGTCTGTCCCGTGGCCGTGTGCGGAGAGGAGGGGGGCTGCAGGGCATCGCCCGGTCCCCGGTCCTTGGGAAGAAGCGGGGCGGTAACGCGTCTGTTGGCACGTTGTCCCCAATGACACTGCGAAGGGACAGCTTCAGGTAGCAGTAATCGTATCATCTCTTGAGTGCCTAATACGGTAACTGAATTATAATAGGATGAGTCTGGATGAAGATTGTATTTATAAAGACTTTGTTAATACGGGCATATAGAAATTGCCTTATCCCTTATAAATTATTTTAAGATGTGCTCTAACCCATTTTAGAGACAAGCACATTGATTTACACACTTCAATTTATGAGGGCTGCATAAAGGCTGCTATAAACCGAGCCGTAGACATTTATAAATGTCTCTGCAACATGTCATAACACATCTTATGGTAATTTATGCCATTAATCATTTATTAATTATTTTAAAAGGATGAATGCTGTCGTCACTTACAGTGACTTCTCTTTCTCCTTCTCTCTGGTGTTCTCTTTCCCCGTCTCCACCTCCCCTTAATGCCCTTCCAACTTTCCAAAAACTGACCCTGCTGTCCCAGGCTGAAGGCTGTGATACGGCTCTTGGCAAAAAGCAAGAAAGTCCTTCTGCCTCGAGAGTTTTCAGGAGGGCGGATTTTGGGGACGCGTCTCATTTTAGGGGTGATCTAAAAGGCAGCTGGAGGGGCGCTTACTGTGCTGGCCACGGGGGGTCTGCTGGGGGAGCTGAGCTGGTTCGCTCAAACATTGAACATTCTGTCCCAAGCACCCTGTAAGTCAGTCTAAGAGCGAATCAAGTGCTATATTCAACAAATCTTGCCGCAGTTATTTCGGCATGAATAGGAATGTTAATAGCGGGCCCAGGCAGGGCGTGCGGCTTCGCGGCAGCCTTGGGTACGGGATTAACAACCAGAGCATGTCTCAGCATCGCTCACTCTGGTATTGATTCCCTGATCGTGCGTCAACAAAAGGGGAGAAATGAAAGGAAATATGGATAAAAAATGGATCAAAGCTGGATGGAGCAAAAGTCTCGGTGGGGGCGATGACTCTTTTAATGTGGTTAAACCTGTCTCCTGATAGCCATCTCTTCCCTTCCCCTTTCATGCACTTTGAAGTTGTATATTCAAAATCCTCTCCTTGAAATCTCACCGAAGGGAGCCTCATCGCTGGTTTTTCGCGTGCATTCAGGAGCGCAGCCCGGGGCTGCAGCCACCGTCGCAGCCTCCACCACCGCCACCGCCATCCCTGCGACGGTGGCCCCGGCACGTGCCGTGCTGCGGCGGCTGACCCCCAGCACAGGTTAAATGCCCATTTTTTCCCCCTCCTGCTGATGGCTACCTTATCGTCACAAATTCAGTTTGTCCAGGAATGAAACAGGAGGGAATAGCATCACCTCTCTCTGGCTGAGAGTGGAAAATACATTTGCAGTGAGAAAAGCACCGAGAAGAAAAGGTTACATTTCAAAAGCCGGCTCCGTCCTGGTGTCAGCGTTTCCCATTGCCTCTGAAACCCGTTAGAGCGGCTCTTCTTGTGCGAAGCAGCCTGACAGCCAGAGGCCAGCGGGGCATCCGAGGTACCCATTCACCTAAGTGCTTCTAGTCCCCTTTGTGGGCTGCAGAATATTATATATTTTCATTGATTCATTCCCTCTTTAACGGGGAAGGAGGTTTCGGGCACAGCTGGGGTTCGGCATTCAGCTTGCTCTCAAGCTGGCCGTTTTGCTGACTGGTATAAAAATAAAGCATCGTAGCTCCCTGCTTTCTGCGGGCTTCCCACCGCCTGCCTTTAATAGAGGCGAGCGGGTTTCCAGCAGCTGCAAGCCACCGACGTCCTGCCGGTGCTGCGGGCGGCTGTGCGCCGTGGACGGCAGCCAAGCGCGGCTCCCCCCGCGCCCGCCCATGCATCAGGCAGCGGCTGGGGCGCACCCCGCGGCCCGAACCCC